TTGAAAATCTCTCATGGCCTATTCATAGAGGATTTGGGAAAAGGTTGTTCCTTAAAGGAAAAAAATTTCCTCTGTACCCTACAGAGTTGAGACTCTACCATGAGCCCAGATAGCATTAAAAAACAAAAATTAAGCTTGGAAGATTTGTTTGAGGTACTTTATTTAGGCAAGCCTACTGCCTGTAAGGACTTGATCAGTTTCTCCAGATATTTGGGACACGAACTGGATTAAGGCTCTTTCACCGCTCTTTAGCTGGAGCAAGGAATACAAGAGGTGCCGGGCCTGTGAGAAACAATGCAGTCAGCAGGACATGAAGGGAAAAGGGCTGTATTTGTGCTCTCTGGAGGACCGTAACCTTTCTCTTTCATCACTTCCCATGCGTTCCTGCCCAGAGCTCAAAATTCAGGAGTCTTGTGCAGCCCAGAAATCTGAGCTTTTGTGCCCAGTAGCTGTTTTTTTCCCAGGGAGCTTGCGTCAGTGTGGTCTGTCCTGGCTAAATGGGTATCCTCCTGTTCTGAGCTTTCCCTCCCCGAGAAGGTTAAAGACCAGTGCTTCTCATGATAGTCTGTAAATTTCTCTATCAGTAAGAAGTATACTCTAAACTCAGCAAATGTCCAAACATTTTGGGGTGGGGAAAAGCACACAAAAAAAGTTGTTAAATTAGTCTTATGGATTTGTTTAAAATCGGAAGAATATATACATATATGTGTGTAATGTATGTATGCTAGGTGAGTGTATGTATCTCCACCATACACATGTGTAAGCTAATAAATAACCACTAGTGAGGGTTTACAGCTGTATGGAGTGATTAGCAACTTCATCAAGGCTCTGTTTATCCTGCCCTTAGGGTCATTGATAGCTGCTGAGTACACTAGGGACTCTACTGTGATATCTAAGATTGGCATTCAGGCCTACTTCTGAAGAATTTATCATTTTTCATTTTCTTATGATCCTCGAATCCCTAATTTAGGCAAAACAATTAAAACACAGAATTGGGGGGAAAGATTTGCAAAGTGTGAGGGGTAAATTTAAATTTTCTGATGGAGAGCTCTTTCAGTTGCTATTAGAAGATGTGGGAAAATGTTATCCCTCAAAGAAAAAAAATTCCTTTACCTGCAAAACTTTTGAGTATACTTTCTTGCATAGGTAAGTGGCAATCAGAACAGAATCTATGCTTTCTGTCTGATACAGGATTGTGTGGGGCCTCTGGCCACCACGCTGTAGACCACTAAGGTGGTGAAAGCATTGGGTAGAGAGTTGGTCTCAATTTGTTCTGCCTGCAGCACAACTTCTATAAGCTGCTTGTTTTGGACAAATGCCAGTGCCACCTTGTTTGCTGGTTATATCTTTCTCTGAGAAGCAAAGTTTTGAGGAGCCTGTTCAGATAGTAACTACTTAACAGGTTTCATTCTATATAGATAGAGTAAGTAGTATGAATTATACCAGAGAGGTAGTAAGCGGTCATCTAATTCATGGACTTCCTCTCTGGTGTTTCCTGCCATAAGCACTGAATAGTGTATTTACATCAATACTAGTAGTCATCTTGATTTATGAGTTTAAAAATATGCTGTCTTTGAATGACATTCATTAGGGCATACTCTTAGAGGTGCTTTTTGCCTAATGATGATGAATTAATGCTGATCCAAGCGCTCTTCCAGAGTCCTTTTTCATGTGTGCCCAAGAACTTTCAATTGCAAGACAAATGGCTGGTTCAGAGACAGTGTGTCCAGCAATGAGAGAAGTAAACTGGGCTTTGTGAATACTGTGGGTGGTTTCCAAATATAAGCTGAGTTACACCGTTATTGGGGTTTTGTTGGATTTTTTTTTGTTTTGTTTTTGTTTTGCTTTTTTATTGGTATAGGGAAAAAAGTGTATAAGTTCATAAGTATAAAATTAAATCCCACTGAGTTTTACATCTAATTCATTACCCTATTGAAAAAGAATACAAGAAATTGAGAATGGCCCAGAAAATGTTGGACATATTTCTTTGAATTCTGACTTCTTTCTGAACCCCTAATCCATATTTCAGCTCCGTTTGGATGGTCTTCAGGCATCTCAAACTCAACGTGTCCGAAAGCAAATTCCTTATCTTCTTTCTCAGCCCTCCACCGGTGCTTGTTCGCGTAGTTTGGGATGTACTTCCCAGCTCCAGTCATCGTGGTACCTCCCACCACTCTTCCTCCTCCCATGTAGCAAGTCAGCTGCCTCCTCCTATCAAGTCTGCCAGTCACATGACTGCCTGTGCTACACTCCACGCCAGAGCCTCTGCCTCAATTCATTCCTTTGTAATTTCTCCCAAGTCAGTCCTACAATATAAAGTTCCCAATCAGAGTTAGCATACGTGGTCCCTCTTGATTCATACCTAACACTAGCCCCAGCCCCAGCCCCACAGCTGCTTTCACTCCTCCTCCCACAACTCTACACCAGCCTTTGAACAGGCCACCCCTGCCTTCTCTGCCAAACAAGCATTGCTTCACTATTTAAGACGTGGCAGAAATGTTGGCTTATTTGTGGAATGTTTTCTCATTCCACCTATCTACTTAAGTTACTCTCTTCTCTTCTCTGTGTCGTCAAAGCTGTCGTCTGCACCTCTCTTACACAGGATAATTATCTGCTTGTCTTTCTTTCTCTTCTGAGACTATGATTGCATCAAGGACAGGACTGGGCCTTGATCATGTATTTCTAGCAATTAGTCAAGTTCCTGGTAGCTAGTAGGAATCCAGATGTTTGTTGAATGAACGAATGAACTTATGCCCTGGGATATGGTAATAACGTGCTCTAAGTAACTGAGGCACTTAGCCACAAACAGCAAATATCTAATAGCACATGGCTTGAGTAGATATTAGGGAATCTCCTTTTACCCCTAAACCTGTGCCCTGTTGGGCCATTGGGTCCTTCTTCTTAGTTCTTTCTTTTCTATACTCCTCCAGGTGCATTACTGGTCTTCCTTACCTTCATTCTCTGTGGCCCCTTACACGTTTTTATGAACAGATATACTTTTCTTTAGTGTTTCATTTTTATTAATAGCCTTCTCTGATTGATGTCAGAATTTTCACTATTACCACCTAAACACTCAGTCTCAACCCATATTTTCCTTTCCCCTTAGGACTGCTGTCAGGACATCATAGTTCTTCCTCTTCTAAATGATGCCAAAGAGGTCTGTTATTATAAGCAACGAAGCCCATTTCTCTTTAATAAGCTCTTGATCACCACCCCTGCCAGCCTAAATTTGGGGCTGACAGTTCTGTGTTGCCCCTACAGAAGGCAGCTGAAATTCCCAATTATCCCAGCCTGTGTACAGACAAAACATGCAGAAAGCCCCAGCGATCCACCGGAACAGGTTCTCTCCTCTGCTGGCTGTGCTGCAGGGCAGCCAACCAGAGCACTAAGGGTCAGTGGTCAGCTGAAGACCAGCACTTAGAGCAGCCCCAGGTGTTTAGTCTGGTGTTTAGTTCTTCCAGTTGAGGTCGAGGAGGGAAGCCACGTGTGCCCAAGGAGAGTATGAGCCAAACCGAAGGCAAATCCTCCTGTTAAAATTGAGTGAAATAAATTCATCGTGTGATATGATGACAGGTTTTGCTAAATAAGGAGATTTGGGGTTGGGATTCTCCGAAGTGGAAAATAGTAAAAAATATTAATAGCAAAAAGATAAAAGCCCGCTGTGAAAATCAGCCATAGATTGAGAAGTAGTTGCTCATCAGCATAGAAAAGTATTCACGATATTGTAAGTGAATGGAATCTGCTTTTTTCCTTCTGCTGCATCATACACTTATTTTGTGTGCTGATTTTAAAAATTATGTCACCAAGTGTTGTTCTTCTGTGGGGATTAATCTATTGCTCTTTAACATTCTTTGGACACCAGAAGATTTGGAAGAGCTTTGATGTCCTTTTTTATAATAGAGCCTTGGGAATCACGTATGAAAGATTTATGTTGATAGGGTGTTAGAATCCTTGAGAAGCTAATTTTAAGTGTGCCTTCTTAACTAAAAATTTAGAAGTTCAGGTTTAATCATATGATTAATTCAGTGCTTTAATTTCCTTAATCTCATGCTTACTGGATTAGTAACTGTTTAAACAAGATTAAGTCCACAGTTACTTGGCCCCACCCGTAATACCCACTACTAAGAACCCATGCCTTTGTCTATGTAGTTTTGTTCACAACCCTCAACATTTACCAGTCCAGTAGCACCAGGCCTGGAAGCAGCAGAAGTACTAAATTAAGTCAAGATGATAGAGTTAGAACTTCTAGTGGTTTGGGAGCCAGAGGGCGGGGAGCCTTGTGAAAGTGATAACGGAATGTGATCATGAGGAGCTATGGAGGGCGCCACATGGTGGTTGAAATAAGACCGCATGCCATTGCCGCTGGTTGGGTGAGCTTTGGTCTGTCTTGAGGTAGAGGCTATGGTTCCTGCAACAGGGGGAGAAAAAGGAGCCAAGGAGGAAAAATGACCCCCTGAGATTGAGGGGAGGTATGGCACGGCTATTCATTGTCCCAACTTGGAACTTGGACATGATAATGTCTTGAGAGGACCGTGACTGAGTCCTTGAGATAGAGACCAAAAGAGAAAATGATATATGTTTGGCTCTTCCTTGTTCAGCCACTTCTCCCTGGCTTCACTTCTCTGCACCCAACGCTGGCATTACTTTGTCTGTATATCTGGATGCCAACACCAGTGTCTATATATCTATAGATCTAGGTATATAGATAGACCAAATCACATATTGAAACAACAGCTAAAGAATGCTTGCAAGTAGATGCCCATGCCCTTTTCCCAGTCATACTTAGAATTTGTTTTAACCTAAAGTTATGGAGACAGACTTGAAGGGAGACATCCCCAACCTTGCTAAAATGTAAGTACGAAAGGCACAAATTGGATGGATATTGATGATGTTGTTTCTATTGTGACATCATCCATAGACTCCTAGTGTCTTTGCTTTGCTTCCCTATAGTGATCACAACATAAATTACTTGTCTTGTTTGACTTCCTTGTTCACCAAAGTTGAGCAGATTGTGGCCGTTTTCAACGCTTCTACCAGACAAAAAGCTTGGGACCATTTCTCGAAAGCCCAGCGCAAGAACATAGACATTTGGCGAAAGCATTCTGAGGTTGGTGATTTTATTATTACTTTTTAACCACCATCACACAGCTGGATTGGCAGAGAATAGCATGGCTGCAGCCATGATGGTTTCTGTTACAGTGGGCAGTCCGCCTGCCATTGTCTGATCTCACTGTCAGTTCCAAATGCAGCTGAGATTTGTTCCTTGTCCAGAAAAGCAGCTGACTTAACACTTAAGGAACAGAGTGTTTTTCTCCCCTGCAATGGGAGAAAATAACTTTCCCCATTCATAATAAAGATCTCAGAAATCAACCAAGACACTTTCCCTAGCAAATTATTTTAAAGAAAAAAAAGAAACTTACAATAGAAAACTGGCTTTTAAATACAGAGGGGATTTTTTTAGTGTTCTACGTGATGATGACAGTTTGCTCTTTGGACAAGTATGCCTTTCCGTCCATATTTTCTCATCATAAGGAGCATCTGAGTCCCCTATGCTAGCCATTAAGTCCTATTACACTTCTCTCCAGAGCCAGTGTTGTAAGGGAAGTGAATATCTAGGCCAGCTGGGTCCACCATCAGCATCCATGCATGTGTGAAGTGTGAGTATCTACCCCCAAGAGAACAGTCTAGAATTTGACCTCCTTGCCACTTAGAAGGACCGAAATGTGTCATTAGTCATTGGTCGTCCAGCTGTTATTTTTAACTCCACAGAGTAGTGTACGCTTTGAACCTGTAATTTAAAAGTAAGTATACTGTCTTTGCTTCTTTTTTTAATGAAAGAATGTTTTTCATTTGGATGCCTCTCCATCTCTAGCATGTTAATATTAAAGTTCTCTAAATGACATTCCCCTCTTTCAAAATCCCAAACTTACGGAAGGTAAGGTTTATTTATTTAATGATTTTGACTCACACTTGTAAAATAAGTATTTCATATAGAGTTTGAGGAATCACAAAGTACTATGGGATCAATCATTTGGGTAGCATTTTAAGTGCCCATTAACTAGTGCTAAATTACAGTTGAATACCAGTGGCACTAGATGTAACATCCACATGAATACCAAATGAATTCTTTATTATCACTGTTATTATGGTGAATACTGAATGACTTCACAATAATGTGACACTTAAAATGCTAGTGCAATTTATTGTTAAGAACGACATTTTTTATTTTGTTCACTAATGCCTATGGTGGTTGGTGACTGATTCAGTTCTGTTTTTCTGTTCAAGATTATGAGTAAGGAAGAGGTGGGATTTCTCTTTAATTTTTCAGGGACCAGAAAAATGCAGGGTGCTTACCTGATGTTCTCCCTGACTCTGACTTAAGACTCAGGTCAAGGTGGATTTTCAAGATTAAAAAAAAAGAGTCCTCTGTTTGTGATGCAATATACAAACTGAGGGTTATGAAAACACAAATTGGAGCCCATAAACTCTGATTCAGATTTGGGAATGATCGATCTGTGAATTGTTTATTACTTCACATAAAAACCAAACGTGATTAAAAGGAATGTTGAGAGAAAGGCCGGTGGCCTGCTACCGAATAAACCTGAGCATAAAAAGGCCATCATTAGAATGTGAGTGTCAGCAAATGTCACATATTGATCTGAATCACGCTTCCTGCCACGTCTGCCTCAGCTTCTCACCTTCGCTTCACCCTGCCTCCTCCGCGCGGGTGTGGTGGGGAGCAGGATGTGTGAAGGCTTCCATGGAGGTCTAAGGAAGCCTGCTTGCTTTGTTCGGTACTAGGAGACAGAAATGATGCCCCCGAGGGACAGATGGAGTGCAGCTGTCAAAGGTGCTCCTGCGAAGGGTCTTTGTGCCTTCCTGCTACTTTCCCCACCTCTTTTGATATACATTAGGACCCAGAATTCTAAATTAGCTGTGATTTTTCTCTTGCATGTCGCTTAATTGATTAGATACCAGTTGGTAATTTAACATTGTGGATGATTTCTCAGTTGCATATAAGCTTGATAATTGGCTTGATTTTTTCCCACATTCCCATGTACAGCATCTGTTAATTATCTGCAACACCTCTACAGATGTATTAGAGTGTACTAGTGATTTAATGCTGAACCAGAGGCACCCTGTGGAAACAGCCTCAGCATTTTTTCCTCAATTTTTTTTTTCTTTTCCACCACCTTTTCCCACAAGAACAACTACCATATGACAGTTTGTCGTTAATCGCAGGGACTAAACAACAGGCCCTTTCAGCCTCATTTATTCTTTCCACCTGACTTTTCCTTGTTTCAAGTGTTTTCAGGCCACCTCTTTGGGAATTGGGCTCTTTGTCAGTAGAAAAATGAGCTGTCCACAGCCTAAAAATTTCCCCACTAATCACATGTGACACCCGCCTCCAATGCCTGATGGTGTTATTTAAGATGGAATTGGCACCTCTTTCTTCTGGGTGGCATAATCAAATAAGGAGGCCTTGTCTGCCATCCCTCTGGCCTCTCAGGGCTGCCTCTGATTGGTGCCCCTGCACCCCACCTTGGACCTTGTCTCTCTGCTTTCTCCCTTCCCTGTCCTCTGCAAGGGTGATTCCCAGGGTACAGAGCTGACCATTCAAATGCTGTTAGCAATAAATAATTTCCTCTCCATCATGCTGTAGTTAAAATCTGTGAGCTAAGGAGAGAAAAGAATTGAGAGAACCCACAGCATGGAGTGATATATGCATGTCCATCAAATGGGCACTGGAACCATGTTTAAAGCCATGCCCCTAATAAATTCATTGTAATAATTTAGTTTTATTGTTACTCATATGTTTATTGATCATAACGTGAAATTATTTTAACTATTTGATTTTTATTTGGAGACTTTACAGAGGGAAGAAAGAATAATGGAGGCTTTCCCCTGTTTTAAGTATTTCTGAAGATAGTACATGTGAGAGAACAGAATGAATAAGGAAGGATTCACAAATATGTAATATACACCTTGATACAAAATAATAATATAAATACTTAGCATAAGTGATTACAGTGTTCTGATTTTAGGCATAGTAGTAAGAAATGTACTGTGATTCTTTACTCTTTACAATGAGTTTTCACATATGCTACTGCATCCAAACAGCTTGTATTATTATTCCTCACTTGTGAGTGAATAGACAAAGTCTCAAATAAATTAAATAACTTGATTGTAGCCACTCCCCTAATAAGTGGAAAAAGTAAGATGTGATCTTAAGATCTGTGGCTCTAAACGTGATGCTAAAGCAACCACTGCAACAAAAACAATAACCCCTACATGACCATGTGCAATACAAAAGAAAAGGCATCTGTTTGTGTTTTGTTCCCTAACATCTGACTGATTTTACATTTTGGATATCTGAATGGGGTGTGTGTGTGTGATCACACATGAGCACATACACACATGCAGGGGCACTATGTTTGCATGAGAAATAATAATGTCCAGCATTATCAACTGACCAACCAAGTGTCTGGCATGGTGCTAAGTATTGTACATGCATTAATTCATTTCAGCCTCAGAACTATTTTTAATCATAATACTCCAGTGAGCAATTTAGGTTCATAGAGATGAAGAATCCTTCCTAATGTCACACCATAGGTCAATGGCAGAACAGTCCTTTTTAAAATTCCAGTGTTCATATTCTTAACCATAATTTCTAAGTCCTTACTGTACATGGGCCAGCCATGTAACAGGTATTTCTATGTAATCTTTGCAGCCCTCTTAGGTGGATATTATTATCCCCTTTGTACAAATGAGGAAGTGGAGTCTCAAGAGAGATTAAATTATTTGCTAAAGACTCCTTAACTAGTCATGGGTGAGCAGGGATTAATCTAAGCCTGACCTTGGTCTACCCTCTACCCCACACCCCTCAGAACCTCCTTTAGGTTAGGTGAGGTTATATTTGGGAGATAAAAGCCTTGGATTCTGAATGTTAATATGCCAGTCATATATACCCAAAGACCATTGGGGAAAGCCATATGTGTCTGTGACTCTGACTTGTGTGCATCCTCTACTTGCAGGAGCTCCGGAATGCCCAAAGTGAGCAGCTCATGGGCATCCGCCGTGAAGAAGAAATGGAAATGTCTGACGATGAGAATTGTGACAGCCCTACCAAAAAAATAAGAGTCGATGAATCAGGTAACGCTGATAACTGCCACAGACCCATGAGGTATCATCATGATCTTCCAAATCTCAGAGGGGGCATAAGTATTGGGAAATGGCCCTATAACTCACTTTTATTTGAATTATACTAAACTTTCATCTTTGAGTGACTCTGCTTTTTATTAATAGAACTTTACACTCCTTCTTGGGAACAGAGTGATTTAAATTGCTCCAGTTGTTTCTCCATACGCAGATCTGGGGCCATGATGATTTCAGGGATGTTTGCCTGTTTCCATAAAAATCCTTTTCCAGAGTACGGCAGCCACAGCTGATGCTAAAATATGGGCAAAACTTGGTTTTAGTCAGTGTACTTCTTACATGGGAATTGTTTAATCCCTGAAGAAGCTTTCCAGCTTCCGAGCCAACATGCTGGAGAATTAGACTTCTTTTCCCGTAAATCTTCTGTCACCTAACCTGTAATTAAAAGGCTGGCCCCATTTGGTACCAAGCTAGGGGTGTCACTCCTTGGGTTGTAAAAAGAAGAGACGCTTAGAGAGAACCTTGCTTCGTGTGCTCTGTCTATTGGGAATTGCTGATTTAAAACGCTCATTGGTATTGTTTTTACAATACCAACGGATATATATAATTGAATTTACAATGAGTTTTATATATAATTGAATTAGGTATAAATCCATTGGTATTGTAAAAGCAGGCAAGGGAAAAGCTCATTCAAAACATGACACACCAAGGGAGACTGCTTGTCTGAGTGGAAGGGCATTGTCCAAAGGACCTAGGAAGAACCATAATTGCCATCATTGCCAAAAAAGAAAATTACAGAGATGGTATAGATTTGATCTGTCTCCTCATCTGTACAAGTGAATAAAACACACACCTGTTACAGACTTTTTAACAGAAAGATGACAGGTGACCAGGAATCGAGGATCTTTGCTAATTTATTAAGAAGCCAAAATCAAGATTCTAAAAGGATGGGGTCACCAAGACTGCAGAGTGGTCAGGATGCTCTGTTTCTCCAGGGCTGTAGAAGAGAATGTCAGGGGTGCGAGTGATGATCGTAAGAAAAAGCTCCTGCATACAGGCATATAGAGAAAGGGCTTTAATTTCCTTGAAGTAGTGGTTCTCAAAGGTGTGGTTCTCAGTCCAGTAGCACCAGCATCATCTAGGAACTTATTAGAAATGTAAGTTAGCGGGCCCCACCCAAGACCTACTGAATCAAAAACGTCTAGTGGCTACGGGGGTGTTGGGAAGTGAAATCCATCAATCAATCTGATTTAAGCCTTATAGGAAATTCTGATGCGTGCCAAAGCTTGAGAACCACTGCCTTAGAAACTTTCCCTTTCACCCTCAAATTCTATTCATTTTAATCTTTCAGAAGCTTAACATACAAGTAGGCACTATGCCACTATTTTCTGAAGCCATATATCCCTTGTCTGAAAAATGAACCCAGCACTTATGTGTCAGTGACATATGTCTCCTACTAAACCCAGAGCAGATTCCTCAGGACTGCTTTACTCAGGTTTGTTTATTTGGGAAGACCACCTTCCTCACAGGATTTCTATTCTACAAACCTTCATGTAGCAAAACAAGAGAGCAAGGATTTGTGTGAATTTCTTAAGTTCAACAAGATCTTCAAATAAAGAAATAAATTCTTGCTATCAAAAGCACTTTTCATCCTTTGTGAAGCTTCTGGGTGAGGGGCAAGTTGACATGAAACTTGGATTCTTAATATCCTGACAAGGTAGGTGTAGGAGAAAAGAATTGCATCAGTCAGAAATTCTCATTTGAACCTGTGGCTTTTTTGTTTGTTTTGGTGATGTTTCTTTTCAAATAACTTGTCAATTTCGCAAGTAAGAATTGTGTATAATTTCACAGTCTGCTTAGGATAGGACCAGAATAATGAACTGTATGCTCACTGAGGAGGTCTTGCAGCACATACATGCCTATAGGATCAGGGCCCGGCCTCCGCTGCAGAAGCATCAATGGAGATGTGATCCCCTGACACCTCTCTCGGTTTATTCCCCAGGCATCTGATGAGAGCGTGAAGTAGAGCCTGAACTTTTAAAAAACTTTCACCAGTCCTGTTACTTGGTCAGCAGAATTAATGAGCAAAGTGCAGGGCATGTTGTATACCAGGTTCTGAGGGAAGAGATGAAAGAACCGGAGTTCAAATGCCAGGCCCCGAGGAGTTCAAAGTCTTTTCGTACTTTTCAAAATGAGATGGACCAGAGAATGTGGCATGTGGTTTCTGAAGAAAGCACAGGACTGATTAAAGGGAAAGGAAGGCAACTAACCTTTTTTATTCCACGGGGCCCTGAAGATCTGGCCCAGAGGCAGGCAGTTGTTTTGCTTTCAGCCGTGCATATTTGAGGACACAGCCTGACAGCAAGAATTCCCATCTGGTCTTTTGTTCAAACCTCAGACAAATCCCTGCTAACTGTTGCTTGAAGAGGGGAGGATGGAGGCCGTTGCCCGAGGGAAACACCTTCCAGCGCTATCTTCTGAGGTGACACATCACTTGTTTTTAGGTACACATTTGCATCTGCCAGTCACCTACATAGGAGCAGTCCTCTCAAAATGTAGCCCTCTAATTCACTAACAGGGGAATTGCCAGTCCGGAAGTGGAAGTGAAACCCTCCATCCTTTAAGGAATCTATTCCCCTGCCTATTTCCTCCCTGCTCAAACTGTGGGGTTTTGGCCTCAGACCTCCTGGGTAGTAGCTGACCCAGGAATTCTTGGAAATTCCAGAAGAGAATATCCTTCCGTTGTCACCTGCCTGTGCCAGGAGGAGGTGCTGAGGCTGCACCCACTACAGGGTGCTCTGTCTCTGGTCCCCCAGGGCCAGCTTTGCTTGTCGTCTCCATACTAAGACAAAAAGTACCCTGTAATGGGTTTTATTTGCGGGGACAGGGAGGAGGTGGAAAGAATTGACTTGCTTGGTTTTTAGAAAAGTCACAATTTATTGTGTAAGGACTTATATGATACCTTGGGTTTACTTTTTAAAAAATAATCAGAATGTTTCAATATATCTCTGCTTTTTGGTTATGAAGAATATTTCATTGTACTTTTGCTTTTTACCATATATAATAATTTGCAATATATCTTTGGCTATAATTCTCCAGTACCTACAATAGAATTCTGGCGGGGGCGGTGTTCACTCTTCTTCATCAGTTGAATCTTAAAGGGGAAAAGCAGTTCACTGGAGCAAAACTAAGATGCTTATAAAAATGAAAATGAATTTTGCTAATAAATTTTAAAATGATGACAGATTTATTGAAGCATTCATTCAAGAAGATCGGCATCCTGCTCTGAAGCCTGTGAAGATAATTTTTGACAAAAATTCAAATTTATTGTTGTTTAGTCTGCCTCCTACTGAAACGAAGCCAGACTTTAAAATCCAAATCCGTTCTTCCTTTTTCTCTTTCTGTCTCTCTCTCTTCCTCTCTCCCTCTCTTTCCCTCTCTCCTTCTCCCTTCCCCTTTTCCACTCCCTTCCTCCCTCTCTCCCTCCAGGTTGACTCTATGGGGCAGGATAGTGTTCACAAGAAATAAAAAGGAGAAAGGAAAGAGGAAGGCTATCCTAGATTGTAAGGCCTCCGATGGCAAAACCCGATACATTTTAGTATTGTGAGAGTTAATGAGTCAATGCATGTAAGGTACTTCTGACTTCACTTACAGTGTTGATCATCTAGTAAGTACTCAGTAAATGTTAACTCTGCTTGTTACCTTAGTCATCCTCCAACACCTGGCACGGGACCTTTCCCCAAGTACGTAATCAATAAAAGTCTATGGACTTCAATTCATATTCCCCTTCTTCTGATCTTAATGTTTTGATGCCTTTATCCCAGAAGTTGATAGGAAGATGATAACCCTGAGAATATTTGCTCTAATTAAATTGAAATGGCAAGTATTAAAGAGGCATGTTCAAACAAAATGTTCAGAACTTTATACGTACACAATTCAGTGTCACATGGCAAACAGGCCATGGCCCAGAGAGCTGTAACCTGGCATTGTTTTGACTATCTACATTTTGTATGCTCAGGATGCTGTGGACCCAGGGGACACAGAGTTAGTTAGAGACAGGGTACCCTGTCCTCAGGGTGTAAGACTCATTTATAAAAAGTGTTTTAAGTTAAAAATATTAGGGATGTCCTAAAGCCAATAAATTACATTTATTATAAACCAAAATGAACATCACTACATAATGTGTATACCTCACCCAATATTTGATGAGAATACTTTGAACACAAATTTTGGAAGAGTGAAACTAAAAAGTCCCTTGCTCAGTAGACAAATCATAATTCCTTTCCATAATACACAAACAAATGTTTTTGGATTTTAACTGCATTTCATTTAAACTCTGAGCTCTTTATAGGAGCAGACACTCTTAATTATGAAGTTTCCTGAGTTGTCAATTTTTCATGAAAATTCACCGTAACATAGGTACAAAGGAATTTTGTTTTAATTTCACTAAGAATTCAAACAAGGACTTTCCAAATCTTTCAGCCACTAAATCAAATTAGGAACTCATAATTAGGTTTGGTTGGAACTAGCAGTATCAGCTTATCTGAATAGTTATATATGTAGCTGGAAGCTTTATTTTAAAAAATTAATAATAATAATAATAATAATAGGACTCTCTGACCATCCCATTGATTTCTTTGAATAGCAGGACAACCTATTTTTTCTGATTAAGTATTTTCTATGTGATAGTGCTTCTGAAAGATCCTTAAAAATGCCCATCAGGAAGATTATAATCCGGCACAAGCTTAAGAAGCGTCTCACTGCTACCCCATCACCAGCCACGCACAGAAGAAGGAGAGAGTTACTAAATACCAGACCAGGATGCAGCAGCTGACTGAAGGGGCCCACTACAGGGGGCTCCATCCTTCACACTGGTAGAAACTTCCTTTTAGGAAGCACTGAATGTAACCGAAAGCAGGCTCACCCGAGACTGGCTCAGAACCTGGCAGAAGGACAAGAGAATTCAGACACTGAAGTGAGATGGCTCAGTCTGAGGCCACATGCCAGGATCCAAGCTCCGGGCACCTGCAGACCCCAAGGGCAGGGGTATCTGTGCTGAGTGGAAGCATAGAAGGATAAGCTGTTTTCACATGTAATGACAGCCCAGGGCACCATCTCCTGAAAGAGAAATAGACCAATGGGGTGTGTCCATCAGTGACCGCTGAATTAAAGACAAGCTGTTTCTCTTCTGGGAACCCAAGGGGCCCAAACAAGGAGATGTGATGAATCAGAACTAATGTAGCTTAAAGAGGATAAAAGAAATCTTGCAAGGTGGGCTGAGTAGCCTGCTTTCTTCCTAAACTCTAAACAGAGTTTCATTTGCAAAGGAGCCAAGGCTTTCCTGTTTCTTTCTTTCTTTCTTTCTTTTTTTTTTTAATCTTGCTAATCTTACCCAAGGAATTCAAATAAATGTTTATTTTGGGTGGGTTTTTAAGTTCCCTAATTTCGTGTGCATTTACAATTCCCTTTCCATAATGGATATGCTTCTGAAAAGTGTAGACATTTTTTTTGTAAATTGCTTCACCTTTTAAATGCAAGAAAACAGATGCTATTTAAATTGATCCTGTCGCAGAAGATTCCATTTCAATGGAAGCACTCCTTCTGCCCAACCAGACTGTTTGTTTTGTAAATTCACACTTGGAGCCTAAACTGTCTTTAAGCTAAGCCCCTTTATAATCCTATTTTTATGTAGCACCTATCAATGCCATGATTCTTGACATCTCTCTCATATATGCACAAACTTTCCATAATCTGGTATTTTATATAAGATGAATCTGTGTTGCTGACATTGGTGTCTACGGGACCAAGGGCTTTCTGTAATACTCTTAACTACTCAAATGTGCCACACCTCCGTGAAACTCAGTTGAGGCCTAGCTGAAGTTCTTAAACAATCCATACCTGTTTGAGCCTAGCTTAGACCTGGGTGGGGTCTCCACAAGGTTTCCTGTGTGGCAGCCCACCATGTTCCCAGCTCCTGTCAGGCCCTGGCTTCTTGCTTAGAGCCATGAGTCCCTTGAGCCTGGTGGAGGGCTTGGGCTGATGGGTAGTTGGGGACAGAGGAGAAGAATGAGGACATTAGCAACCAATCTTCAGAAAGGGAGAGCTGCCGAGGTCTTGACCTGGGAAAAGTTAAGACACATAGCCAGGGAGCAGTGCAGGGTCACCGCACTGCCGCCTGTGTGCAGCCCAAAGTACCCTGATGCTTACTGACTGCCAGGAACACCATTATCTAGATTACAGATTATTATGTTTTCTGGGCATTTCATTCTGGTAAGGTTTGATGCAGGATCATTACATAGGAGAGTGGATTTAATCCTGTTTCTGTAGCAGGTTTTAAGGACACTGAGGGAATATTTATGTAATAAGATGCAAAGTTGCTATGGAAAATACTATAGCAACCTAACGTCTTCCCAGAGCCAAGCAGCCACTTGTAACAGCAATCTAAATTTACATTTATTTTAGTGTCATTTTATCGACACTCTTAGTATCTCATTCTGACAGGATGTTAAAATATGTTTTCAGCTTGCATTTGAGCAAAATTAACACAGTGTTGTTGGAATTTAAGTGCGGTTTGCACAACTTCTAGAAAAAATCAGAATATTTTTTGAAGGAGTTTAGATGACAGAATCTGGGCAAGTTTGTAAGCTTTTTTTGTTGTTGTTGTTCTTTCCTAAATACAGGAGAGAATTCTTCAGTAGAATTTATTCCTGATTTTCCATTTTCATTTATAAGCAATATGCAGAAATCTCTGATTATGAAAAAGGGATTATCCTTTACAACATCAATGAATGTTATCAAATGCTCACCTGTGATTCCAGCAGATGCTTATAGAAAACACTCAGTAGGTCACCTCATTGTGCTCTAGCAGCATGTCACATTTTAAAAAATAAAAGTTGTTTTTTGAATTAAAATACCTGGCCGGGCTCGGTGGCTCAAGCCTGTAATCCCAGCACTTTGGGAGGCCGAGACGGGCGGATCACGAGGTCAAGAGATCGAGACCATCCTGGATAATACGGTGAAACCCCGTCTCTACTAAAAAAATACAAAAAAAACCTAGCCGGGCAAGGTGGCGGGCGCCTGTAGTCCCAGCTACTTGGGAGGCTGAGGCTGGAGAATGGCGTAAGCCCGGGAGGCGGAGCTTGCAGTGAGCTGAGATCCGGCCACCGCACTCCAGCCTGGGCTACAGAGCGAGACTCCGTCTCAAAAAAATAAATAAATAAAATAAAATAAAATAAAATACGTGGTCATTTTTGAAAACCTAACAACTAAGAATAATGCATAAAGAAGAAAACAAAATTGTGTTATAATATTACAGAAGAATGGTTTGGCTTCTAATTTTTTTCTTTTCACAGTTAGCTATATAAGTATTTTTCCGTGTATTTTTTTTTTAAGGCTTGGTAGTAAAATTCTACATGATTTTGGTTTCAGACAAGAGTCCTTGTGTAACAAGTAAGGCTTTTTTTAAAGTTTTCTTTTTATATATTAACGAAACAAAAAATAGAGAACAAATAAATTTGTATTCTTCCTGGATCATAGGCTCTTTCCTGTGGACCTTTGAGAGTTGAAGCTAAAATCTTTGAGGTGGTCAGAGTAGAATCCTGAGGTTATTAAAAGCGTGGTAACTGGGCCAGACCTTCCAAAGGCATTTTTTAGGTCCCTTGAATGTGATTATGGCAGAGAAGCTATAGATATGTAGGCCAGTTGGTAGTGGAAAAATAGTATCTATTGATTATCTTCTCTATCTCTCCATCTGAAATCTTAAAGTGTGACTGTAGCATTGTTAAAAGTAGGACACTGGCCAAGAGAATCAATACTAGGCCATATGAAAACATACACTGTTACCAGCCTCTTAGCACAGTGATGTGCTGTTTATGAACATCATTGTCCTAATTCTCCTCCGCTTTTATACTGTATTGTTCATCAAAACACAGTAGGTACATAAAGCTATTATGGCTTGACTCCTAATGCTGTTGCACATAAGCTTCGTTAATCAAAGACTTGAAGATGGCAGGTATACTGCATGAACACAGAAAATGAAGACAGGATGATGTCTTGTAGAATTCTAGTTAACCATAGGTAGTTAAGAGTCACATAACTAATTTAAAAAGTAAGTACTTCCTTCCCTTTCTTGGAAATTCCACTTGCCATTATGTGATACTTAGAAGTCCTGGAAATTGAAGTTGGTAGGAAATTATTATTATACTAAGCTCTCCCACATCTCAATGGCTTAGAGACCCTTCTCTTTCACTTGACTGAATGCTCTTGATATCAAAGAGGGAGCAAGAGCTCAGCAGCTCTTCTCCCCAGTTCCAGGACACAATGTGTGAAGCCTTCTAGGAAGTAGCTAGAGAAAGAAAATTTTATTTTAGACTCCCGTCACTAGCAGAGAAGTAGGAAGAAACATTTCTGGAGTGAAAGTTGCAAGACAGAGTCTATTAATTGTAGCATTTCCGGCAGGGCGTTGCAGCATCTTTAATGAGCCCCCTTTAAGTTCTAGAGCTGCTGTGTCCCAAAGGCCCTTACTTTCTACTTCGGGCATGCTGGTCATTGCAGCTCAAAGCAGTTACCTGAATTTTCAGTTCTCAGAATTAGTTTAGAAACATCTAAACGTTGAACACTAGGGTATTGGTTAATTAATGGTATATCCATGAGCAATCTTGAAAGAAACCATGGTTTAGACTACATAATGGAATGAGAGAAGGTTCTTAATATATTGTGAAGTGATAAAAGAAGTTACAAACCAGCATGGATAATTCCATTTGTGTGTGTATGTGTTATATTCACAGTTTATGTTAGGGGAAAATATGTGAGGATATAGGTCAAAATATTCAGACTGATTATCACCAAATGGTGTAATTACAAGTGACTTTTTTTTTCTGTGCATTTCAAAAATATCTCAATATATGCACATATTATTAAAATAATTAAAACTACAATAAATATTAATTTATAAATTACCTAGGAGAATCTATGAAAAAAATCCATGTTTGTTGAGGAATACTATCTAGACACTTTCAGTCATTCTAGAAAGTCAAGAATAGTAAGGAACAGTAACTAGTATCAGATAATGATAGTTTATTGAATTGCCTTCTTTTGCTTTAAATTAGGGAATTTCCACATTTAACTCACCATAGTATGCTTACCTTCCCAGACCACATAATCTTACAATTTCCTATTCTAAGAGCTAATCATATTGGTATAAATATTAAATAATGGATCCAAGAAATAATTCAAGTTCTAAACCAGGCAGAAATGTTGAGTTCTTATCCACAGAGAGATTAGCAATGACGAGAAGTTACGTTATTTACCCAATTGTAAGTGGAAAGTCTAGAGCTCAATACTAGCTTTCTCCTTTTGAGGTTAATGATCCTTTTATGGCACTACTGAATTTTATGGGAAAAGGACTCCAGAATCTCTTTCAAATGCCTTCAGTGACATCATGAGAGTCAGTAACCAAATAAAATCAACCAAGGATTTTGAGTGCCTGCAGGGTACGTGCCGCCATAATGCCTTCTGGAGGCAAAGATAGCCTGGAGATGCTTATTACCTTAAAATCTTCATCCACACAAAGCCAACTGGGGCTTCTGCTTGGTCTTCCCAACCTTTTTTTTTTTTTCACTAACTAGAAGGAGATTTGCTTCAACATAAGCAACGCATCCAGCAAACTCTTTGTAAGCCCATCCCAACAGAAATACTGCCCTTAAAAAATATTCAGGAAATTGGTACCACCCATTTCCTAATTGAGTGACATTTATTTCCTGAAAGCAGAGTCCGCTGTATGGCTTTAGACAAGAAAAAGAAGAAAAGGAAATGCCTTGAAGAGGTGAAATGCATAGGGAATGTTCATTGCCGTGTTATCTGTTTCCTTTGGTAACCATACACACTGTCACAACCCACGTTTTCCATTTAGCAAGTCCCCAAAAAGATAAAGAGAAGAATGAAGACATTTCTCAAACCTGAGGCACATGCTTGATGGTTGATCTGAAATGATCTGAGCTACAATATCAGCCCTTTGATTTCCCATCTCATCCCATGTTTTCTTTGCACCCTCAGGGTCTAGGAGAGCCTACCTGAGGATCACCAGTTTATTGACTCACCATCTAATTTCAAGACTTATTGAAGTGCCTCTCCCTGTTTCTCTGCTCCCGAGGCTTTTCTTTATGAGATGTACCTCTCAATATAACTTAAAAATAAGAGTCTGAGGGACAGCATCTACAGTAATATCAATCTTCTTGTGATTCACAGACTCAGGGAAATTCTGATTTGGAAGAGATTTTTGGAAATAATATGTCTTCTCCCTTCCCCCAATGTCCTAAATTAATGAGAAAAATGAATTTTGGTACCTCCAAATAATGATCAGTTGAGCTGCTGAATAAATACCACAGGTTTATATTGGATACTTGTGATTTTTTTTTTTTTTTTTTTTGTGATTACAAGTTTTCAGGCACAACTTTATCTACAACATGTATTTGGCAAATCTTTTAGAGGTAGGATGAGAGATTTTATTTTTCTTATAGTGATTTACCAGTCAGTTGTTTATGAAATGTCTGCACCTGCAATACTAGACTTTTCTAGTGCAGTTTTTCTACTGAACATCCTAAAGCCATCCATTTCTCTACCCTCAGTTCTTTGCCTCCGCAAATTGTCTTAAACAGTGTCATAATACAAAGCAGTGATAAAATTATAACAACAAATATTCAGTAAATTCTCACAATGTGTGTGGGAGCATATGCTTTGTCTTCTTCTTTTTTTTTTTTTTTTTAAATACTTTAAGTTCTAGGGTACATGTGCACAACGTGCAGGTTTGTTACATATGTATACATGTGCCATGTTGGTGTGCTGCGCCCATTAACTCGTCATTTACATTAGGTATATTGCCTAATGCTATCCCTCCCCGCTCCCCCCACCCCACAACAGGCACCGCTGTGTGATGTTCCCCTTCCTGTGTCCAAGTGTTCTCATTGTTCAATTCCCACCTATGAGTGAGAACATGCAGTGTTTGGTTTTCTGTCCTTGTGATAGTTTGCTGAGAATGATGGTTTCCAGCTTCATCCATGTCCCTACAAAGGACATGAACTCATCCTTTTTAATGGCTGCATAGTATTCATGATGTATATGTGCCACATTTTCTTAATCCAGTCTGTCACTGATGGACATTTGGGTTGGTTCCAAGTCTTTGCTATTGTGAACAGTGCCACCATAAACATACATGTGCATGTGTCTTTATGCAGCATGATTTATAATCCTTTGGGCATATACCCAGTAATGGGATGGCTGGGTCATATGGTATTTCTAGTTCTAGATCCTTGAGGAATCGCCACACTGTCTTCCACAATGGTTGAACTAGTTTACAGTCCTTTATTACAGTCCTTTGTCTTCTTTACAGTGCCAGATTAAGGGGAAAGAATAGCTAACAAAGCCTTAAAAGACTGAGACTCAGACTTGGATGTGAGAGGGTTACTTATCTCCTCTGAAAAATCCTCATAGCATAACATCAGTTCTGCTTTTCCTGGAATAGTGTCAGATCATGGGTTCTCACAGTCTCTGCCCACTGTGCCCTCCGAAGTCATAGCCAAAAACTAGTAGATAAACTCTAACATAAAGAAGTGTGAGAGTATAAACTTTAACATAAAGAATGCCCAACCCACTACATTGTACATGATAGGGGGGCAAGATTTTGTTAAATGAATGGATAGGAAATTAAAACTAGGAAGAACTAATTTTTAATCTGTTGGGTGATATTTTTTTCATTCTAAAGAAAAAAAAAACCTATCACCTATTTAATCCTCAGAGTACTGACTACATTTTTTGGATGAGGACCCTGAGGTCTCTTGGAGGTTTAGTTTCTTGCCCCAAGCCTCATAGCTGGTATCTGGCTTCAGAGCACCTTCTCTTTCTCTAGCACACTTGTGCCTCTCTTCTCTATATAATCCATATCCCCTCAACTCTCTGAGGTCGGCAGGGGTAGCTATGTGGGATGCAGAGGACTATGTTATGTCATGTGTGTCTCTCAGGGTGACTGTGCCTCTCAGGGTGACTGTGCCTCAGGCACACCCAGTAGTCCCCAAAGTATCACCTGTGTGTGGTGCCCCTTCACCTCTGTGGAATTCTGCTTCCATCATTATATATCAGACACTCTGTATGTTACTCTTTTTTGGCAGGAAGAATGTGATGTTCTTTCAGGTCATTAAAACATAGGGGACTACGGCAAGGAGAAGGATGGGGCTAAGAGGAAGATGTGTAAAGAAATAGGTAACAGTTGAAGCTTTTTTCTGTAGAACTAGGTTGCAATTTTTGCAAATGATAAACTATATCTTGATTTAATTTTCTCTTTCTTCCTTTCTTTCTTAGTAATTGAAAGTCATTGGGTTCTTGGACTTTGAAATAGGAAATAAAATTTACAATGGACTTTTTGACCCTTCTAAGTCGCACTTAGGCTCCTAAGGAATATTGTAACTGATGCTCGATCATCAGTGTCATGTTAACAAAGCACTTTATATGAAACTATCTGTAGTCCCTTCCCTCTCATGTTCAATAAAAAGCTAGTAACAAGAGAGCTGCCTTCTCAGAGGAATTCTTTTAACCTTTCAGAAACAAAATATTTTATGCTAATTTCTGCTTAATTGGAAGGAAGTCATTTTTTAAAAAATCATTGAATATGGGTTTGAGGTCTGTTCCATCGCTGACCTCTTTAATTCAATCAAGGTCACCTCATAAACTTGCCCAAATAGCTCTGTTTCTCAATTAGAAAAAAAGATAGAGCTGTTTAAAAAGCATTTAGTGTTTGATTAATAGTGCTTAACTGGCACCTCAGCACTTGCAGAGTATTTTTAAGGAGACTCCGGTAAGAATCAAACATGGCTACCTGAAAAATTATACTCATCAGAAATGCAAAACAAATCATTTTAATGAACAAAGCAAAAACTGGTTTTTTGTGGGGATGTGAGAAAGGTTATCATGCTCAATATATAGAGGGTTTAAATGTCTGAACAACTCTCTCCCAGGGAAAAACTGCTGTAATTTATCCATCCAGATACTTTATAAAATACATGCATTTCCCCTGCCCAAGGACTCCAAGAGGACTAATGCTGAGTTTGTTGAAGCAAGATTTTGTAGCACTAAAACTCTGGGGATAAAAAGAAGTGATGATGTGTCCAGTTGAAGAATGTGAACTGAAGCCATCTGAATCACTGAAATATTGAGAATTCCGAAAATAAGTCCTTGGCTTTCTTCTGCATTTCCTCCCCACTGTCGGGCCTGACTGAGCACCGCCAAGCTCACTATGATAATCTCTTTGGAAGAGAGGCTCATCTGGGGGGTCAAGTGTTAGAATGGCTCTGAGAAAGGGACCTCTATGAGTGAGAACCAGTGTTGCTGGCAGGGGGAGTTTAGAGTCACTGATACAGTAAACAAATAACTTTGAGGCTGGGTACAGTGACTCACACCTGTAATCCCAGCACTTTGGGAGACCAAGGTGGGCAGATCACTTGAGGTCGAGAGTTCTAGACCAGCCTGGCCAACATGGTGAAACCCCATCTCTACTAAAAATACAAAAATTAGCCAGGTGTGGTGGCGCACACCTGTAATCCCAGCTACACGGGAGGCTGAGGCAGGAGAATTGTGTAAGCCTGGGAGGCTGAGGTTGCAGTGAGCCAAGGTCACACCACTGCACTTCAGCCTAGGTGACAGCGAGACTCTGTCTAAAAAATATAAAAAAATAAAAAATAACTTTGAGCAGATGAGGTCAGAGGGCCCTTGAGGTGCCTTGGTTCTATTTCTGGCATGGCTTGGCAAATAATGTCCCTTCTCTAAGCCTCAGCTTTCTCAGCAATGACATGAGGCTCATCCTGGGAGTTTCTCAATAAGGCTGTGAGAAATAAACAATTAAGGGATTCTGTGGTATCTTGCAAATACCAGGCACTGTGGCAATGTGGAGCGTTGATACTGGTGTAGAACAGAAGGTGTGAATGTGTGGTTCACGACCCCATCTGCACATGAGAATCAACTGGGCAACTTTATACACATACCAACGGCCGAGGGTTAATACCCAGGCATCTGTGTTATTAAAACAGTCCCCAGGTGATTCT